TGACAGGAACACTGCTCTCATGCCGTCTTCGGCATAAGCTTGCGCTCGCGACAGCGCCGCAGCACATTATCGAGCCGTTGATCGGCCGTACCGCTATGGTTAGTCTCAGGCTTCTGAGAAGGCAGTGTCAATTTCAATAGGTGCCTGGGCCTAGGCAAGAGCCATCCACATCCATTTCACTCACTACTTAGATTCATTGCATCTCAGTGAGCATCATGTCCGATGGAAGCTATGGATCCTCGGGAAACTGGCAGGGCTCCTGGGGCAGCTCCTGGGACAGCTCTGGATGGAATGGCCCGTGGGACAGAACACGGAGCCAAGCTGAACGAGAAGCGATCCGCAAGCCTCTGTTGGACAAACTGAAGGCCCAAGAGGCACAGGGGCTATCTGGGTCATGTGCGGTGTTCCAAGGTAAATCCTGAGTTTTGAGCTCAAGCTGAATCGACAGGAGCGGCATCCAAAGGCTTTCGAAAAGCTCGAGGCCCGTCATTGTTGTGGCTGTATTTTGTTGAGATTGTGGCGGTGTTTCTCCGGCATCCTGCTTTAGCAACTTTAACATTGACAGGCCAGGAAGGACGAGCTTCTGAAAGAGCTCGGGGTCCAGACCGCACTTGCTTCGGGATGCAAGGAAGCATGCGTTTGTGATTTTCCGCTGCAAGCATGAGACGCTTGTCACACGCGCGCAGGACATGAACACGATGATTGCGTCACTGCAGAAGGCAAGTCCAGGGCGCTGGGATAGAGTCTTAGAGGGGCTTGCCGCTGTTGATAGATAGAGGGGCTCACCACAAGCAGCGGCCGCGGCTGGCAGGATCTCCAGGAAATGCATGCGAAGAAGCAGTCCCTGGAGAAGGCAGGTCAAGGGCACTGGGGTGGAGTGGCTTAGCGAAAGCACCGGCCATGGGTGCCAGGAGCTCCGCGATAAGATCGGGTTGCTGGAACAGGCAGGTAAGTAAAGTTTTTTTAAAGGGCTAGGAGAAGAGGGGCTTCGCGAAGTGGCCGCCGCTGGCAGGAGCTCAAGGAGGCGAGAATTGCCCAGAAGGCTGCGCTTTCAGCCGACCCCGTGAAATAATAAATGTAACCCTCTTAAACCTACAATTCCTGGATTCCCAACAACCGGAAACTCCACGACCTCGGAACACTGCGTCAGGCGGCCGTTCCATCCGACGTGGCACAGGCATGGGCCTCACGAAACTGGCTGTGTGCCTGGTCTCTTCTGGTTTCGCACAGGTCTCCGCACAGCCTGGAATGAGTGGGCTTGTTGTTGCTCCTTGCTCAGCGCTGGGTGTTGCGAGTTTGGATTTCGGTCTGGCTAGAATTGTGCTCCTCTATCAGGATCATCCGGAGCCTTTGCTAGCTCCCGTGCATGTCCGTGCCCGAGCTCAAAACCGTTGCATTGGGTCTGTCTGGGGGTGTACCGTGGCGAAAAGGCTGCTGATCGGGCTCTTCATCGACCGGGCAGCGAGCCGGCTGCCGTTGACAAGGTTTGGTCTGGTAGCTGGTACTGCATGTGGTTGGGCTCGTGGCCGCACAGCTGCAAGCATTGATCAGGCCGAAGCTTCAGCTGGGGTGCTCCGCGTGACGTCCTGCCAGCGTGGCGGCCTTAAACTTGCTTCAGCTTCGTGACAGGAACACTGCTCTCATGCCGTCTTCCCTTGAGTCCTAGCACATTGAAGAGCTCTCAGGCAGATCTGCACAAAGCCCGCGATCAGAATGCCGAGACGCAGGACACCACTGTCGTCCCGGGCAGTCCAACCTCCCAGCTTCCCCGCCGCATTATGTTGACTCCCGACTCCATGCCCAACTGCCGTGATAGTCAGTAGTGCTAGCGTCGCACAGGTGGATACGGAGGTGGCCACCCCCACGGAGCACAGAGAGGCCAGCCAGTTAGACATCGCCAGATTCAGAATGTGACCAATGCGCTTCGTTTCACAGGCGAAGAAACCTCGCAGCTGATGAGCTAGATGGCCTAGGCAGGGGAATCTGCGCCACGCCGTTCATGTGCGGAGCCGGCACACTGTCATGTTCCAGGCAAGTCAAGGCGGCAGCACGAGTGCGATCGGCGAACTTGTCGGCAAGTCAAGTAGAGCGAGGGCATGACGAGTAATACTAGGGTAGCAGTGTCTTATTTGGCATCAGACCATGCGACTAAGTGACTATGCTCCTGAGGTGTCTTTTGGTGCCCAGAGCGAAGCTTCTGAAAACAGGGCGATTGACGGCCGCTCCGAGCGACCTGTCTTAACTATCCTTAGACGTTATGTCAAGCTTTGTTGTCCTGCATTGTCTCGGCCATCTCAGGCTGAAATCTTCGCAGACTGCTGCCATGCTTGAGTGTATGGAAAAAAAGGACGACAATGCGCTGGCTGCTATGACATTGCTCTTGAGAGCATCGTGCACACACGAACAACGCCAAAACAAAACTATGCTGCCCAGGCCTGCACATCCAACAGCTACACTTTGCACGCTTCGTTCTCGGAGATTCTGAAGTTTCGGAGGTTGCGAAACATGGAAACATCTCGGGCAGTGCTGTGCAGTGCAGGATCAGATGACTGACAGTACAGCTCATGTTTCAGGTGTTACACTGTTACACAGTGTTGGACACGCATGATGTCATGACCGATTCAGTGATCATATTCCGGGCTCTGGAACAACATGACAGAAAAAGCTTGCTTTCGACTACCAGTATCAGGGACATCTTCGGTGTGCTGGCAACGATCCTGTAGGTCTGAAACTGTTTCGTCATTCGGCCCACGCGAACGGTGCATAGCGGTCATCAGTGTCAGATGGTTTGTTAACGGACTCCAGCATTTATCGTGCTGCGCACTCAGGCAATGGCGGCATGGAATCGGCAATTGGTGGCGAGCTGCGCAGCCAGCCACCCAAACCTTCTAATAAGCTGAACCGTGTAAGCCGAAGCCGGGGCACGCTTACAGAACCCAGTAGAACACTAGCCGATCACCGTAGCGATCGCTTGAAACGAGAGGAACGAATACATAAACTTAAACCCTACATTACACCGTAAACCCTTCGTTCAGCGCTTCCCCCTGCCTCCGCCCCACCTCCCTAGATGCAGGAGGGATGCCGAGCCCAGGAAGACAGTGGATCAACAATCCGTGACATACTGGATCTCTACGACCTGCAGCACGTGAAGCCCTCCACGTTTGCCTTCAAGTTATGTGCTGCTGGACTTAGACGGACAGTTCAGTTGTGTTCGAAGTGCGCGGCTTGTGGTTGGGGGTATATTGCAGAGGGGGTTTTCGCCCGACGAGTGATGATGAGGCAGTGTACTGGTGCCGCTGCCGCGCTGAGTTGGCTCCTTTGAAAGTCTTTCATGCAGGAGCCCCAAGATCTGTTGGAAGCAGGGCCTCTCGCAGTGCCCTTGTATAATCTCGATCCTGTCTGCATGTCACTTTGCCCAGTTCTAGTCTAGGCCTATCATTGTGAAATCCGATGATCCGCAAGCGGCTCAGGTTTTCATGGATGGATCTTCAATAGCCAAGAAACCGACAGAATTGGCGTATCTCTGGTGCCCGGAGATTCTTCGAGGGTGCTACGCCCCTCCACTGGCCGTCCCCTCAGAGACTCCTGGTGTGTTGGATTGCAGATTGCTTTGCACCAGCTAGCACTGAGCGCAGTTTTCTGACCATATGACTGTGCTCGCAGCGTGGCCCGTGCCAAGCAACAGTGGTCTCATGTGCCACGTACATTACAGCATCTCTACCGTCGGAGTTGCACCAGCTAGCACTGAGCGCATCCGAATGTGTTCGCAGTGTCGCCCTTGCCAAGAAACAGCGGTCTCATCTGTCACGTACATTTCAGCCTCTAGTAGCGGTTCCAGCGAGGGTTGCTGCAGCCAGCTCGCTCGCCTCGCTCTGTTTGCCACCTCATGGACGACGTCACAAATGTTACCTTGTGTGACAATGCAAGTTCGGAAGGAGGACTACCTTGGACCCAGAACAGTTCTGTGAGTTCCGACACGTCTTTGGAGCCCTGTCGGCACTACTGAACAGCAGAGCACGTGCGATTGCCAGCGATGTGGGGCTAGGCAGGCAGATTCAAAGCCTTGTCCATCAGCCTAGGACCTTCCTGGAGATGCCTGTATGCTTGCCAGAGCTGCCCGGGCATTCCACATGGCTTGGGTTGTGGTCTGCAAGGTATTGGGGCCTCCGAAACTGGAGGAGCCCACTGCGCAAATGATCAATTCGGGCTATCTGGTTGCTGACGATTAGGACTGGAATCCGGTATGTAATATCAGTTAATATCACACAGGCGATCCCAAATCGGCTGCCCCTGAAACCACTCTCATTTCGCACGCGATGTCACCAATGCTTGTTACCAATGCGGTCCCAAAGCGAATGCCCACCAGTATATAATATTAGGTTACATGCGCCTTTCTTGCGAAAACACTGACAAACGTCATAAGTTGTTGTTATGTGTGGTCTTAAGCGATCTGTCGACCAGGAGTCTTTTCTCACGAGAGGGCACACCACATCTTCAAGCTGCACCGGCGCATTCACCGCTGAGCTGGCGCTGGGATCGTTGGAGAACGTAATCAATATGTCCCAGAAACTGCGACGACCTGTAAGTTTTAGGCCAGTGTCGTGCCACGATACTCGGCTGCTGCAATGCATTATTGCGAAAGAACTTACTGCTCCATGGGATGGAGGAGTGTATCACTACCTTCATAATGATAGGTTGCCTACGCCTACCTAACCAAGGAAGTGGCTCCCGCATGTCGCCAGCTCATCGTCGATCACTTCGCATGGCTGCGAAGGGCCACGGGGAGATCCTGCCATCCGCCATGTGTGTTTGGTGATTTGGAAGGTTGCGTGCCGCCTAACAGCTACGACCCAACGCAAAGCTTTCTGGAAAAGCTGCATGACTTGGATGATGCACCACTGATTCAGAAGCAATACTGCTACACTCATGGCCGAGACTGTCCACTATTCGGCACGCATACCAATGCGACGATGGAAGTAGCCGGCCTTCCGTGCTGGGACATGTCTGCAGCTGGCAAGAGAAAGAGAGAAGACGGACGCACGGCCTCCGTCTTCATATGCCACGCCAAACGGCACGTCGAAAAGAGGACCCCGCTGATCATCGTCGAGAACACGAAGGCGCATCCTTCGCTAGTCATGAGGCAAAACACAGGAACCATAAGGAGAAACTAAGGAAAGCTAAGGTTTAGGGGGAAACATAATAGCGGACAATAGGCAAGACTAAGGAGAAATTAATTCGAAATAAGGGGAATTACTAGGAAAATAAGGAAAATAGAGGAAAAACCAAGGAAAATAAGGAGAACACAGGAAAAGCAAGGAAAAAGAGGCGAAAATAGTGCCGAAATAAGCAAAAATAAGCTGGAAATAAGCAAAAATAAATAGGAAATAAAGGAAATTGCTAGGAAAATAAGGAAAACACAGGAAAAGCAAGGAAAATAAGGCGAAAATAGTGACGAAATAAGCAAAAATAAGCTGGAAATAAGCAAAAATAAGTAGAAAATAAGGGGAATTAGTAGGAAAATAAAGAAAAATAAGGAAAACACAGGAAAAGCAAGGAAAATAAGGCGAAAATAGTGCCGAAATAAACCAAAATAAGCTGGAAATAAGCAAAAATAAATAGGAAATAAGGGGAATTAGTAGGAAAATAAGGAAAACACAGGAAAAGCAAGGAAAATAAGGCGAAAATAGTGCCGAAATAAGCCAAAATAAGCTGGAAATAAGCAAAAATAAATAGGAAATAAGGGAAATTAGTAGGAAAATAAGGAAAATAAGGAAAAGCCAAGGAAAATAAGGAAAACACAGGAAAAGCAAGGAAAATAAGGCGAAAATAGTGCCGAAATAAGCAAAAATAAGCTGGAAATAAGCAAAAATAAATAGGAAATAAAGGAAATTGCTAGGAAAATAAGGAAAATAAGGAAAACACAGGAAAAGCAAGGAAAATAAGGCGAAAATAGTGACAAAATAAACCAAAATAAGCTGGAAATAAGCAAAAATAAATAGAAAATAAGGGGAATTAGTAGGAAAATAAAGAAAATAGAGGAAAAACCAAGGAAAATAAGGAAAACACAGGAAAAGCAAGGAAAATAAGGTGAAAATAGTGCCGAAATAAGCAAAAATAAGCTGGAAATAAGCAAAAATAAATAGGAAATAAAGGAAATTGCTAGGAAAATAAGGAAAATAAGGAAAACACAGGAAAAGCAAGGAAAATAAGGCGAAAATAGTGACGAAATAAGCCAAAATAAGCTGGAAATAAGCAAAAATAAATAGGAAATAAGGGGAATTAGTAGGAAAATAAGGAAAATAAGGAAAAACCAAGGAAAATAAGGAAAACACAGGAAACAACAAGGACAATGAGGCAAGAACCCGTGACACGATCCAAATGCCAGGCAAGCTGCCGCTAATGATGTGCGCTTGGGCAAGCCCAAAACCCGGACCCAAACCCAACCAATTCGGACCCGAAAGCAACCAAATCGACTTAAGGGAAAATCAAGACAACCCCGGCAAAGAAGCGGAACAATAGTGAAAACAATACGGAGCACAGGGAACACTAGAAGGAATACCGAGAAAGTAAGGAAAATACATAAGTAAGGGTAAAATAACGATAGATAAAGAACGCTGGAAGTTCCTTAACATTCGAGCTGCCCTGCTAGTTCCTCCGCATACAGATGCTGCGGGCCATGTTCGGCGAGCACTACACGTTGCACATCCTTCACTGTAACACTGCAGCGGTGGGCCACGCTGGCTCCAGCCGTGACAGGGTGTACGTTATTCTAGCCCACAAGCAGCGCACATGCATGCAGTATGAGCCCCAGAAACTCTACGACAATATTGCCACAGCGATCTCGGCCAGAGCGGCTACAGCTCCGAAGGACTACTTCGTGGCAACCAGCACAGATATCCGCCTGCAAGTAGATGCAATCTGCCGAAAGCGGAAGCTGACGGTGACCTCTGCCACCTGGGTTGCAGCAAGACATCCGAAATGCCTAAACCTTCCGTGTACGCAAAGCTTGATAGATTTCTAACAATCAGTGTACGTTAACAAATTTCTGGAAGGCATATATATATATATGTCATTCTCCAGGCTGTCGCAAAGAAGCTGCACCGAGATGCGGCCAACGTGGACTGCAGCTTCGTCCTGAATGACAGGGAAAAGAGAGTGGTGGCAGACCTCAACGAAGAGTACCGGAAGCGCTACAATGCTGACCCCAACCTGGATGACAACCTCGTCTACCACGTGGGAGACAGTGCTCAGTATCGAACCTGGTCGGCGACCTCAAATTCCTTGCCTACCTTGAAGCGTTGTTCTGGTCTTATGTGGTCGCCGAAGCGGCGGCGGTGCATGACTAGCCGCGAGCTGCTGGCGAGTTTGGGCTTCCCGGTGACACAGGCTACTGCAGATGCCATGATGGTGCCGCAGTTTCCTACCCTAGATCCTAGCAGAGCCTCTCAGATTGCCGGGAATGCTATGAACTGGTCGAGTGTAGGCGTGGTGCAGCTTATCGCGCTCTGCTGTTTTCGCCCTAGTACAGTTGCTGCTTGAAGCATGAAGCGACATTTGGGGCTTTGTCTTTCTAGGTTAAGTGTGCCGCCACTGGCAGAAGGAACTTCAAAGTCACTGGCATGGGCTCGTGAACAGACAAAAGTTGTCAGCGCAAGGTCCTTCACTTTCTCTTTGCAATTGGCTTTTAAGCCAGCCGTTGTTGGAGGCAGCACCTTGCTGATCCTGATCTGACTCGCCAGGGCTCATTTGCTGTGGCAGACGTAGCACTAGTGCACGTTGACATAGGCTGATCATATGGCCTCGGGGCGTGCCAGCAAGCGGGGGTCAGCTGGAAAGGGCGATGATGTTCCTGAAGCGGCAGCACCCTCGACACGCATGCGTAGCAAAGCGTCACTTGGCCGAATTGCTGCTTCATGGGTGCCTTTGCGTGGTAGCTTCTGCACGACACAGCCAGAGTGAAATGAATTAAATGTGCTTCCAAGGCCAAGAATTTGCTGGCCAGGCGGCGTCGGTCCCGATCTGGACCCGGAAGCAGATGAAGACCTACCTCCTTCAAGCAAGGGCAAGAGAAACAAGCCAGCCGGTAAGAAAGCCCCAAAGACACCGGACAATGAGGAGGAAGCGGAGGACGACAGATCTTTGAGAGGAGCCAAAAAAAACGCCAAAGCAGCCCTCAATCCCAAGAGAGTCACCAAGAAAGCCTTTTCTGATGCTTCTACGGATCCGGAGACATCCGATGACCAGAGGCCGTCGAGAAAATCGATCCAAACCGGATCAAGACTCAGAGCCGCGAAGAGAGTCCTCAAGAAAACCGCACCCGTTGCAGAGGAGACCGATGAAGAGGAGGAGGACGAGAGACCTTCGAAGGGATCCAAAAAGCCCAAAGCACCCCCTAAGAAAGGCAGCAAGCGACCCTCCCCAGATTCCGAGGATGATGATGACCCCGCCCCGAAGAGAAAAGCTAAAAATGCTGCTCCCAAGAAGGCCTCCGAGCCCAAGCCAAGAGACCCGACATCCCGGGCTGTCACTGCCAGTGGAGTCAAAGGACCTGTGTCCAGTACCTCAGAATGAGCAAATACGTAGTCTTATTCATTCTTACTCTGCTGCAGATAGTTTTAGGTCTCAATGATCAGCAGTAGCTCCTGGCTCCTTCAATCCCGTGCCACAAGTCAGAGTAACTGGAGCCTGAACTGATTACTACCAATTTCACTCTTTTTATCTAGGCAATGGCCGGTCGATTTCCACAACATATTACAATCACCCCAAGTTGGGGAAGATGCCGGCCCCTCCACTGGACTTGTGAGCGCTTCTGTACACTGGAGGTGCGCATGTGTTTCTAGGACACTGCTGACTGTTTCCCAGATAGTGATGCCTCGGGTGCGCTCGCTAAGAACTGTCATTTTGGAGACTGGCTGGCCGAGATCGAGCCGATTTTCCTGAACAAATCTGTCTCGAAAAAATTGGATCGGGACACGCACTTCCTGTTGCTCGCTTTCTGCTTCGGGTGGCAGGCTTCAGACGAGCCATGCGAGCAACTTGGCTTGCGCACCAACAGTAACAGCTCATCAGCCGTTGAAGCTTGAACTCCAAAATGTATACCCCGAACCCCATGCTCAGGCGTGTGAAGGCTGAGATGCTACGAGCATGCAAGAACGAGTACATTCGCCGTGGCTCCCCTCTGAGCCACACGTGCTGGAAGCTTGGTTTCAGCGAGATGCAGCCGCGGACGATTCTAATACGGAAGAGCCTATATAGCAAACAAAACACAACATGGAGCCAAGGACCGTGCCTGACATCGTTGCCTACATGACAGCCAGGTGGGCAAATGCAAAAGATGAGGACGACCCTGGCCCTTTCGCGCATGAACTCCCTGCCGCACCGCCAACGGGCGGGCCAGCACCCCTTCCGGATTGGGTCAAGTCTCACATGGCAAAGACAATGGAGGCAGGATTGTGTTCGAGCGAGTTTGGTTCCTACGTTCATGTGAGTGACTGTGATGCGCATGCTGTGCCCCACCGTTCATGTGAGTGACTGTGATGCGCATGCTGTGCCCCACTTCGCAGTAGCATTCGACTTCATTGCTCTGCTCTGGTTGCAGGAGCAGGGGACAGAGGCACCGGAGACAAATGACCATGAGAGCGAAGAGGAGCTCCCCCACACTGGGTACTGTATCGAGAAGAGAAAGGTCAAGAATAAGGGCACGATGTGGTTCATGCGCCATGAGGAACTAAAGAAGAGTGTGGAGCTAGGCCCCGCGGAAGCCTCGTCGTGGGAAATCTACGTGGAGGACGGCATGGAGTACCTGGGACAGACGGACATGGACGGCGAGGGGGACGAGTGCTGCCACGAGGTTTTCGCGCAGCTTCTGCATGCTGAGAAGACTGCGAAAGTCGGTGCATTGGCTGGGAAGCCAGCAGAAGATGCGCGGGTGAAAGGACACGGCGTCGTTGCGGTAGCTAGAGAGCAGTTCTGATGTTAAAGTGGTGAAAGACTGCTTTCTGTCGTTTGCAGGAGCTGCTAACGATTCGGTTCACAACGGTTCCAGCACCGCCGTACCCGATGAGGACTTCGGTGGCTCCAGTTCGGAATCTCCTGCTTTCACAGATACCGCCGAGGAGTCTCGACATTCATGATGTCTTTGCAGTGTTTTTCTTACTGCAGGAGAGGCTAAAGCTGCTTTCGCTTGCCTTTTGCAGGAGACGGCGGAGCCGCCACCCTTGATGCCGTTTGTCTTCAGACAGGATGGCAAGCAATGGCTTTTGGACGCGCAACTGATGCGGGAGCTGGCTTTGCCTGGCCCAGAGAAGCCCGAGGGCTCGGATGCTTGGAAAGTGGGGCGGGAAGTCATCGGTAACAAGACAAACTATGTCCTCGGCTGCGACAAAGCTGCTGCCGGGCGTCATTGTGATGTCCTGCTGGCCAGCAGGAGATTCTGTCCGCGGTTTCATCCTGAGTTTAACTTCCTGTTACTGGTGCCTGTCAGGAGGAGCAAGGACATCGCTGATCCCGCACGCTTGGATGCAGCCAGGAAGCACAAGGAAAAGCACGAGGCCCCGAAACCTAAATCGAAGAGCTTCTACCCCGCACTTGAACATAATTAAATTATATTAGGTTTTACAATCTAAGTAAACCACAGCCAAGCCGAAACCCTGCACATGTCAGTCCTAGTGTCCGAGCCCGTGTCGGTTTGGGTATGTAGCCGGTTGGCCGTAGGTTCTAAATTGTTCTGTTCAGGAGGAAGTGCGTCGTGTGGTGCAGCTGAAGGACCGCCTAGCGCAGAAGGCTCAGCGTGCAGCAGCAGAGGAGCGTGAACAGAAGGAGCAGGCAGCAGCAAAGGAGCGTGAAGAGAAAGAGCGCGCAGCAGCAGAGGAGCGTAAACAGAAGGAGCAGGCAGCAGCAAAGGAGCGTGAAGAGAAAGAGCGCGCAGCAGCAGAGGAGCGTGAAAAGAAGGAGCAGGCAGCAGCACAAGAAAAAGGGCGCGCCCCATCGAACCACCAGGGAATGATGTCGATGGTTCCGCCTGGCATGTCTATGACCCCAGAACAGATGTCACTGTTCAGCACGATGATCACTTTCATGTCTCAGCAAGCGCAGGGCTCAGGAACCGCAGTTCATCAGGCCACGGAGAAGGACGAGCGTGCGAAGCGTGAGGCAGAGGAGAAGGCTGAACGCGAGGCCAAGGAGAAGGAAGTGCTCGCAAAGCGTGAGGCACAGGAGAAGGCTGATCGCGAGGCACGGGAGAAGGAAGAGTTCGCAAAGCGTGAGGCTAAGGAGAAGGCTGAACGCGAGGCCAAGGAGAAGGAAGAGCTCGCAAAGCGTGAGGCTGAGGAGAAGGCTGAACGCGAGGCCAAGGACAATGAGAAGGAAGTGCTCGCAAAGCCTGAGGCGCAGGAGAAGGCTGATCGCGAGGCACAGGAGAAGGAAGAGCTCGCAAAGCGTGAGGCTGAGGAGAAGGCTGAACGCGAGGCCAAGGAGAAGGAAGAGCTCGCAAAGCGTGAGGCACAGGAGAAGGCTGATCGCGAGGCACAGGGGTTGGCTGCAGGTCGCAAGGAGAAGGAAGAGTGTGCAAAGCCTGCGGGACAGAACGCAGAGAAGGAAGATCGTGCAAAGTGTGCGTCGGAAGAGCGCGAGGCAAAGCCAAAGCGTGCCAAGAAAGGATCGCTGTCGCCGTCCCTGGCGAGCAATCATTGTGACCTAGATGCTGAGGAACCCCTACCCCCAGATGCACACACGTGAGTTCGTGAGCCAAGTGCCTTCTGTCATTCTGCTATGTAAAGCCACTGCAGTTAGGGTACTGTGAGTCGTGGTCAGAAGGCACCAGTGAAGGCAAGCTCCCTTGCGTCATCGCTGGCGTTCCGAACAGATGGACTGCCCGGCCTGATTTTGAAGGCGCCAGAACTGGTTCAGTTCGATTGAAATTGAATGTCGTCGTGTCACGGACAGCTGTTCACGTGTTGCCGCACCGATGCAGCTAGGGCTTGTTCGTGGGAGATAATAATCTTAAATAGGTCCAGGTCACAACAATTGTAGCCGCCTACGGACTTGCTGCTAGCTGCCTTTCTTCGGCAACCTGCCGACCTGCCTTTCAGGCGACGTTTAGGGGGGTTACGCTTCCACTGTACCATTACGAGATTTCTCGAGATGCCAAAGCAGCTGTACTCCGAGGGCTGTTTAAATTGGTAGCTCAGCTGCATCCTTAAAAATCTGCCGTAGCCATACTAATACTGCTGCAGCCTCCGAACTCATCAACTGCTTGCATCTTCCCAGAGCCACCTGGCCAAGAGACCCGCTCTGGACATCGGAGCACGTGACAAAAGAAACGACGCCCGAGGTTTGCTCCTGCTGCGCAGATTCAACCCAGCAGCACATGACGCCCTTTACCACAACTGAACTCATCGCTCTGAGGTCCTGAAAAAGGTCTTCGAGGAGCAGCTGGATGGATCTAGCGCCTGGAGGCTAGACCACCCGCAGCTTCAGGGGTTCGCACTTTAGAAGTGTTTCAACTGTCTGTGACGAAGGCCCTTGGTGACCAACAAAGAAAGCAACCTCTTCTTTGCCTGGCCCCCACTCTTCCGTGCGTCTGATGGCTGTGAGACTGACGTGCAGGCTGACGGACAGATGGAAACCCCCGAATCTGCGCCAAGGTGATCCTCAAGACAGTGAACCACATCCTGAGTATGATGGCCAACAAGGACCTTGCGTACTTTGCCGTCCCGCCCTCCAAGGTTCTGACACCAGGAAAAGAAGACCTCGCGAGTGTCGAGGTCACGCCTGTGGAAGAGATGCCGATTCTGAAGCTAGAGTCTTGGGTGCATTGAATTGAGTTGGGTCTGCGGAATGCTATGTGGAAACGGCATGCAGTGTCGCTCCAGTCACGCATGTCTCTGCCTGAGGTTGCAGATGACGAAGGCGTGCAGCACAAGGCTTTCAACTACGCCTGGGAAAAATTGCACCTCCGCGGATACTCGGAATCGGAAGCATCCCATCCAGCATGGAATGCATTCCGCAAAGCAATCACCTCGGCCTCCTTGGTGATACCCATGATGAAATTGTCGCTCATTTGTCGCCTGCCAGCACTACCGTCACTAGAGTAGTCTGGGGAAACCGCGCCTTTGTGCTTCCCGCAGATATCTCGGCTTATCATCGGCTTATCCTGGAGTCCTTGACCTGTTTCCCAAGACCTGTCTTCGAAACATGTCGCAGAACTCCCCGCTTGCAAGCGATCGTTCTATGGCCACATCATCCACTCCGCGGATTGGCCAGAAACAAGGGTCGGTCATCGATATCACTACACCGGAAAAGCCGCCTATGGCCACATCAGACACTCCGCGGATTGGCCAGAAACAAGGGTCGGTCATCGATATCACTACACCGGAAAAGCCGCCTATGGCCACATCAGACACTCCGCGGATTGGCCAGAAACGCGGGTCGATCATCATTACACCGGAGACGAAGCCGCCTCCAAGCACGCCGCCCCCGGTGAAGAGACTGCGGCGTGAAATGCTCCTAGGCGGATCTCTACTGAATGCTTCTTTTATTTTCGGTTCTACATCTAGTTCGCAACAGTGAAACGTAACTAGCTGTGCGCTTCGGTTCTTGTAGGGCTATCTAAATTTTCTTACATTAATGACAGAAACGCGTGTGGTCCCAGGCAGACCTTGTTGGACTCGCCGGTTACTCCCTTGCACAAGCGCCTGGAATGCTGAGTCGCACAGACGGAGAGCAGCGAAAGTGAGAAGCCGTGCTAGCAGAGTTTTGAGCTTACCCGAGATCGCTGGGCTGGAAAACAGCATCGTCCCAGAGGCCTTTTGCAAGCAAGGGCGCGTTAGTGTTTGCGTGCTGTCGTAGCCCGTCAAAGAACCTACTTGACTGACTTCTCGACGTCTGCCATGCCGTACTTGTAGTAGATCAAAAAAATCTGACACCCCGAAACCCAGAATCCTGCGCATGCGGTTCCACTCGCGGTTGCTATTTGCTTGCTCATTCTCCCTGCCTCCGACTCTCGCTGCTGCTCGATTCCTTGCGTGACAAACCGTGAAGCCTAAGCTTAAGCCCTGCACCGGAAACCCCCATCCTAGCTGACTTTGATCCCAAAAAAACCCAAGCTTTGACCTGAGAGTTCGCTTCTCTGGTGTGTGAAAGCTATCCTACCTCAACTGCTCCAAGGTAATTTCGACCATGGCGCCTGGAAAAGCGGTGACAAGCTCGAAGCGAAACGAGACGCTTTCGAGAGTTATTTGGAATCGCAACCTGCTGAGTACTTCGAGTCCTTCGCCGAGCGCGTCGCCAACGACCGTGGAGAACTCCTGGATCCTGATCTTCACGTTGCAGACTGTATGACAGACTGGATGAACACACGTGCTCTCCGGAACAGGGGCCAGTACGCAGCCGGGCTTGAATGTGCTCCCCGCGCACAAGCGCAAGCCCCATGCAGTAATATGCGTTTCAAGATCCCGACTAATATAATATGAGACCCTCTGCAACACGCTGTCCAGTGTCTCAGAATCTGAAGCCGTGAAGGTGAAACAGAAAGCTTGGTTCGGATTGCAGAGTTGCCTGCGAGATCTGCTGTTCGACTGGACCGTCCAAGAAGAGGCTCTGCACGCACTTCTTCGGCACCTGGCCGCTCAGAGAAGTGCTTATCCGCTTGGGGTCGTGTTCCGTGCGGTGTCTTCAGGTGAAGGCCCCAAGCACATGGCATGAGAACACTTTATCATTTCAAGGGTTCTGTGTTTGCATAAGTTTGGCTCGATTACACGCAGCAGTAGGCTGTACCGCCACCACTACTACCCCCACCACCACGAGCGCCAGCAGAACTGATAAGGGTTTCGGGCTCAGTTTAGCGCTTAAGGGTTTAAAGGGGTTCGGGCTTCAGATTTCGTAGTAGGGATTTGAGATGCGTTCCTTGGTGCCACTACTACCACCACCACTGGGACTGTGACGGGGTGCGGTGAAACTTTCTGCCAAGGCCGATGCTGACCCCGAGCAGCAGGACGAAGCAAAACAAGAAGAAGACGATGACGAGGATGCGGAGGAAGGACCAGCCCAACAGCAGGAACCCCGAAACAAGACGTTAGCTTGGCATTCAGCAAATATCTAATTAATTGATCAAACTCCAAAATGCGAAGAATACTTGTAACGCCTAGCACAGGGGGGTTTGGTTACGACCGGTTCCTGACCGTCCGCAGCATCTATTAAGATTGTAATCATAATCAGCTTCCAACAGCTTTCTCGGGGTGTCAACCGTCGACCCAGGAAGGAAATCTATGCCATCTTCAACAAAAAGGGCCCCACAAAAATGATTGCTGGATTCATGGCAGATCCGTACCTGCAAGAGGTGGCTCAACTGATCGTGCATATCTCGCAGCCTTTGGAGGACGCCTACTACAAAGCTTTGGAGGCTGCGTCCCGTGGGTGGCACGTTCAAGCCAAGTTTGCCGCAGATCGGTCGCTGGGACAGTACATCAGAACTGTGCACGATTCGCTTGCGACGGTGCAAAAAGAGTCGTCGGGTTTGCATCGCGCTTTGCGCCTGACACGCGCCACTCGTCGAACACCGCCTCAGGATTTGCCGGCCTGGGCACAGAAGGAGTTGGAGTTGCTGCGCACATGCAACAAGTTCGCATTTTGCCTGGCATCGAATGTCTGGTGGAGCAACGCTCACTACAGCATGGCTATGCCTGATTTGCTGGCCACTGTGAATTGCCAAGACTCCGTGGAGCTCAGGTCTGCGATGGCCCACATAAAGACCCTGATCTCAGCAATTGTGGATGCTGAGCGGCACGACAGCCAGGATGCAGCATGGACTGCACTGATGGGCGACCTCGGGTGGCACAAGCAACAGCTGGCACGTGAAAGCATGGCGCTGCTTATCCAGTCAGGGTATGATGCCTCGACACCTGACCTCAAGAAGATTGCCAAAAGGCTGTTTATGGGGTCGGCCAGCACGAAAGACACCCTAGAATCGACCTTCGCATTCTTGCACCGCAAAGCTGCCACGCACTCTACAAACTTCAAAATTTCCGACCCATGTAAATACCTTTACGCAGTGGTGTCGCCGTACGCAGAGACGGGAGGCTGTCCTCAGTTGTTGCCTGACCGATCGGACTTTGACACTGTGCTTGGTCCGGCCGGCATTCCCGATCGTGAATACGCTGCTCAGCATTTGTTTTCGATGAAGAACACAATTCTTCCAAAGCCAAGTGTGTTGCATCGGCCGAAGGACATCAAGGGCTCCAAGTGGCGGAATTCTGGACCACTGGCGCAACAGCGATCCGCCGCTGCTGCAGCCTATCTTGTCCGTGACAAGGACACCCGCTGGTCCAACGTGGACCTTTGCTGGATTGGACTCTGGGCTGATTCTAAGCAGAAGGTTCGCTAGCAGTTCGCATCGAACCTGATCTAGTAAAGTAACTCAGCTACGCCATTTAAAACAATAGTCCGAACCGCTGCTCGTGCTTTTGAGTTCCTTATCACGCACGCTGGGATTTCCACCCTGCGTCACTGATCGGCGGTGCACACTTCGGCCAGGAGCCTTGTTCAAGTTGGGCAGTGTCTTCCGGAACGAGACAGATGGGCAACACATCCTCTCCTTGGGATTCAGAAGATGGGCTGCAGTCGGCTATCCTTTGCAGAAAGTCACCCACGACGAGCAGGCCCGCGGGCACTCCCAAGCCTAGACAGCTTGAACCCATCCTGAAATCCTTAAGCGTTTGTCGTCGGACCGTGTCCAAGTTACAAACCCAGTGTGCCTCTAAGTAATCATTCTCCAGGACTACCTCGTTTTGCAGCCGGTGCCGCAGAAGCACGCCTCGCAACATGTGGTTTGGTTGACTTGCTTCGACTTACGAGGCCCATGGAAACTGATCCCCTGTGAGCCAGCCTTGCGTGCTTTCCTGCCGGCAGAGTTACTCAGCAGACAGTTGGCATCGCCTCTGCGCATCGTGAACGCGGAGGGGCTGCCATTCCTGGAAGGTGGTCTTCGGGAGGGCGTATTTCTCACTGTTGCAGATTTGAAACAACTGTGCGCGATGTTGGAGATTGATCTCCCAACGACAGGGTCTGGGAGAAAGAAGCGTGTCCTCAAGGCGGACATCGCCCACAAGCTCATCGGCACGCTCTTTCCGGAGGAAGATCCTGCAGAGGTGAAGCGCATGGTTGCTGCCATGTGTTTCAATCACTCTCGGACTTTGTCAGAAAATGAGGAAAACATTCTCAAGTGCGTGTCAGAGTTAGCAGAGGAGGACAGAGAGTGCCATGAGTTCAAGAAGATTGCGATGTTGGCAAGAACCAAGCTACAAGAGCAAGATCGCAAGCGTGCAGTCAAGCAGGCACGCACGCAAGCTGCAGAGGCTGCACAGCCTTCGAATCCCGAAGCTCAGGCAGCTGCCGCAGCTCAGCCGCAGCCAAGGGAGGCCGCTGAGCGCAGAGAGCGCGCAGCGGAAGCAGCTCCACGGCAGCCCGGGCAAACTCCGAGCTGCTTGAAGGACCTGCTTCGCAGTTCCACAATGCAGCAGGAGGCGACGATCCTGAAGAACTCGGCGTACGGCTACAAAGCGATGTACCCTAGCCTGGCGCTTGGTTGTTTATGTATCCGCTATCCCAATGCTAATAATCTCCCAGACTATAATATAGCGTTTTCCAGTTGCTTCCGTGTTTCCTGTTATGCATCGTCCTGATAATCCTGTGAAACCTGAGTTGATGATCCGACGCTGCAAGACAGCTTTCAACGCAAGTGGCCTACCACGGCGAACCCTGAAGAAGCAGACGCTTTGCTGGCAGTGTTGACCTTCATCTACAACCGATACAACGCCAAGCACCCGGAGGAGACAGTCGAGAGGCTTGTGAACCACCCATGTTAGATGCAACCTACCTGGCAAGCCCTAAACCTTTAACTCTGCCGTCCATCCTTCCGAAAGCTGTAACCCTTAATCTGACGAGCCTGCCGCAGGCCTACGGCTGCAGAAGTGCGGGACTTTCTGTCCCAGATGCATGCCAGCGCAGAGTAGTTCAGCGGACAGCAAAGCTGGCTCTTTCTGGGGATGACGAGGGGCCTGTGGCTTCATATGCGTGAGTACGGACCTAAGGATGCGTAGCTCTGCCGAGCCCTATATTGTACCCTAAACCCCCAAGCCAAAGCCCAATGAATAATCAGTCAGGCTCCTCGAGTGGCGCACATCCCTCTTTAGATACCTAGATGGATCCGAAGGCTGCACATGTTGCTCGTCGGTCAAAAACTCTCCGTCGTCGCTTGTGCCCACAAAGCCATATGCCTTGAGCCCAGAAAGCATCTACTGCTCATCCTAGTTTCTTTAAGGCCTTGCAATCCTATGAGAAGACATGACAGCCCGGAGCCTCCAACCACGTTCATTTTCTAGAGACAGGAACCCTCAACCCGAAATCAAAATCTCAAACCGGAGGACCCCTGAAAGCGTAATCCTGAGCTACTGAAGTCCTCAGACCCCGAAAGACTTAGAACAACCTGAAATTTGAAGTCCCAAACCGCCATGTCAAACCCAGTCAGTCGATTTTTCGATATGGTCTGTGGATTTCAGGACTTGCGGTCCAAAGCTCGTTTTGGGTTCGGGTACCGGGTTAAGGGACCGTGGACGTACGAGGTTTCGGTTTAAGGGGGAAGTATTATTGAGCAACACACTTCCTCTCCCGTCCGAATCGCGCACGCGAATCATCGATTTGCACGCACTGCCCAAGCACAAAAAATAATCACCATTCAGTGTAATTTCCGTTGAACGATGTCGCCAGGCATAATCCTTATTTAGGTTTATTTTGATTTATTTTTTAGAGGGGGGGGGTTCGAGGGGGGGGGGTTTGGCGTATGTGAAAATACATTTACACACAGACTCGTGGCATAAGCTTCAATCGGTTCGCAGCTGCCGCGGTGGACGAAGCCGATGTATGTGATCAGTCTTTCCATCCAAGGAAGCCCGACGAGCAGCCTCCTCTAAAGAGTCCGTCCAGTGGTGTTCCGTCGCTGAACTGCAGCATTCGCGACCGGAATTATCTGCTTGCTCAGAACATAGCAGACCCATCACAACCCCTCGTCCCGGTTCTTGGGGCTTCAGGCAAAGTGGAGGCGATCTGGCATTCCAGCATGCAGCTTGCAACACTCGTGTGGGTGTGTTGAGTATGTCCCGTGAGCCTGAGCCATCAATCAATCGCGGTCCTGGTACGAGGTATGACAGGCTATTCTCAGCATTGAGTGTGCTTTTTGCTTTTTTGCGGATGCAAACCCTCGATGTGAATGATGAAGAGCTACCAGAACAAAAGCACCTTCGCAGTGAGTGGCAAAGGCACGGGCCCAAGCGCAGCTCCATCTTCGCCTCTGTGGGGAAGTCTATCGCCGCCCTCGGTATGAGGCGAGGCAAGCAAACTGAATGTGTTTGAGGGTTCTGGCTGCTCTACGTCGGGTTCAATGCCCGCTTCATCCTTCTGAGGGAATGCCGTTGGGCTTGAAGGCAAGTTCTTTGAGGTCGTCCTCCCTTGAGTTGGTTGCTAGAGGCAGTTGGCCAAGTCGGCTGACTCTTCGAGAGCAGTGCAATGTTTGAGACAGCCGAAATCGTGCTCGACAAAGTCCGAGATCACGGCTCGAGAACTTCTCGGTCATAGTCTTTCCAATAAATCGGTAGCAGGTTTGGGTGATTGGAAATGGACGGTGCTAGTAGTGTCCAGGGTGGGCTCGGAGTTGACCCGGCAGGATCCAGAGAGCGTCGTCACAGGATGTTTCATTAGGAGGATGCACGGTGGCTCGACGTAGCTGCGGCAGTGTGGGGTATGTCAAAGTACCTGAAGTTCCGAAGCGAACAGTTCGAAACTCCAGTCCATGGAGGCGTGGATCTGTGACTGGTCGACGCAACTCAGCTCTGGCTGCGAGGCCGCGGGGCACGGCCAAGGGTTTAAGTTTTGGCTCTAGTGCGTTTCGAGCTGTCCTCAGGCGTGCTAGTCGTGTGGAACGTCGAATGTCAAAGCTCCATCTCCCAGATGAAGTTACTCGGAGGCAATACACAGTGGCACAGAGTCCAAAACGTACTGCCATTCGTCACAAGGATACAGCTGACATTGCTTCGACATCTATGCCGGTGGGAAAATTCAGAAGTATTCGCCGAATGTCAAGGCCGTTGGGCAGCGTCTGTTTTGGTGGTGGCTTCGGCTGCGGCAGGGTCCCTTGAGAGTAATTACTTGACAAAGCAGTGATGGCTTGCGCCACGAGCTCTGGAGTTCTTCGGCAGTTGCATCCAGGGCTCATCTTATGCCTGCGTGTTTTGTGAGCATGTTATTTTTTCGTTGATCTCCCCACTGCGGCCAGTCATGCTGCCAATGTCGACGAGCCCTCTCCAAGCCATTCCAAGCTGAGGGCGTGGGGCACTTACTTGGATTGCAGCAGGAGGTTTCGAGAGCTGGTCGGCGCGTTTGTAAGCCGAGACCAAGTTTCCGAACGGGCACCTGAAATATTTACTAGCTGCTCTAGCTGTTGGCTGTTGGCGGCTCGCGGATGTGTCAGCTTCAGGAGCGAGCGACTCCAGCGTGAGGTCGAGCTGCTGGCCTCAAGCAGATGCCCACTTCTCCTCATTAAGTTGGGCTGGGCTTTCTCTGACCGTGTGCAGATGCAAGGATTACGTACCCGACATTGATGCCGCTGTGGCCTGCTTTCGAAGAGCTCGAATTCCAGCCGCACCTGCAGGCCAAGCGGCTTCTCCGAAGCACTGTGAGAGAGCAAGTCGCCATGTTCGCCAAGTGGCCTCCGGGCAGCCAAGGAAGCATCGGAGGCGCTCTATCCTTCACTCTGCCACAGTACCCGGCAGCTTGACCGCAACGCACGGTCTTTTTCGTACAGCTTGCAGGAAGTGAAGGAATTTGCAGTATGCGAGGCCTGGGAGGAGAAGACGACAAGCACCACCACCGGCGCTTCTTGGATTGCGCGGCAGCGATGTCTTCAAGTCCTCTGGATTGCCTGATGGTCTGGGTCCAATGGACGCCGCAGGTGAGTCACTGCCCCAGCAGCCGCGCTTCTCTATCGCTCCAGGCAAACTTGTGTCACAAAGTTACACTTAGGAGGTAACAGTGCTTGTTGCAGGCCTGCCACCACAAATCTCGTTCGACGAGAACACTGGGATTATTAGAGGCTGTCCTCTGATGGAGCACGTGGCGGGGTGCCGCATCCCCAGCGATGTTGTCCGACCAACAAGACCCAAAATGTACCGATGGAACACCATGAGGCACCTACACGATCTCAGTCTGGGATCGCACCAGCAGTGAGGAGGCACTGGGCAAATGCTCGGTGGCCTTCGCTGTCGCTCCTGCTGAGGCTCGCTTGTTGTTCAAGGATTGGAAGTGTGGATGTTGCGTGATCGTGCTGGACGGCAAGTTGAAAGGCTGTGCTGAGCTGTGCTGCCTGTTTGCTTCCAGGTTGCAAAGCTGTGCAATGCGGCCTTTGCTCAGGCCACCATGGCTTTGCATGTGATCCGTTCTTGGCTCTGTTGCAGACGTCAAAGCAAGTCAGTTGCTGTGCCAGGACGCGACAAGCTCCAAAGAGGCACCCGACTGGCGGAAAGTCGATGGACCTGTGTGCTTCAGGGTTTGAACCGAGGCGCATGCTGGCTATCCGTCCACGTCCACGTCGTCTCTGGCGGCAGATCCTGCGACCCCTTCGACCAGGTGGGTTTCGGCAGAGCGCAAGGCATGTTTGTGTGACTTACTGGCAGTTTCTGGCAGGGGAGAGGAGATCCAAAGTCCGAAGCCTGCGAGCATCCCAAGTCGTGGCCCCTCCTTGCCTGTTGCGGCAGACACTCGTACGTCGTACGGCTCGTGTTGGCGATCGCGACGCCAGGACTCGACGTTCCCAAAAGGCCGAGCCTGTGGGCGACAAGGCTTCGACCTGCCCGCGGTGGCCTTGGCAGGTCGCCCCTGGCCCGCGTGCAGCCGGTGCACTCTGCCAGGATGGACATCGATTTTGCGAATAACGGTGAAGTTAAGCCTTGCCCTGAGAAGGCCGTGGATGACTCCGTACGAGTCGCTGAAGCCATGGCCTCAAAGGGCCTCAAGTGCGCTGTGCCACGGCCTTTTCCCCCGGTTTAGTGGCTTCGGAGGGCCCGCATGTCTCCAGGACACCTTGGCAGAAACCTTCGAGACAAGCGGGCGCCGGGTGCACAGACTTCGGGAGCTGCGAGAGAGTCCTTGTCGTTGTCGTCGTTGTTGTTTTTCGTTGTGCTGTGGTGCTGCGGTTCCTGTCTTTCTGTCGAACAAAGACGTCTCTTCACGTTAAGACTACAAACACAAATGGTGGCGTATCCAGCCGAATTTGTCCAGGACGCACAGAAGGAACACAAAGTCAGTGCCACTGAGCATGCGACCAACAGATCCATATGATTTTATGCATGCATGGAAGCAGTGTACGTGTAGATACATTGGCATTGGTCCACATAGGCAAAGAGGTTTCCAGCTCTCTTATCGACATGCCTATCTAAGAATCGTTGCTTCTCTCTTTCTCGCAAACACTGGTAGCTACAATCTGGCGCAGAAAAGACGTTGTACGGAACAGAGGTGTAATTCTTGCAGGTCGGAATGTTGTTCGTAGACTGTTGGGACATGCCGGGGCATTTAATTCGGCTTTGCAGGTCATCTGCCTTGGGCCGCCACTCAAGGATGGAAGATGCATGGGAGGGTATGCTGGGACTTGAAGACGGAAGAACGAATTTCCAGAAAGCATAGACGTCCGAGATGTCGGGCCCACCATGCCGGAATCTGCTGGCAACTCGTGCATCTTGTATCAGACAAATCCACGGATTGCATGAGCTTCTGAAGAAATTGCCAGAAGAAATTGGCCAGGACCGCGTGACGCCGTCTGCACATGGGCAGCCTGGAAGCAAAGGCTGCAGGGCTCAAAGCGATGTCACCCGACGTTGACTCAAAACTCATAGCAGGTCGTTACAAGACTTCTTCTCACAGTGGGAGATCTTCGAAGAAAGAACGGTATCCTGCTGACTAGGGATTGCGGGGAGGTCGATCCGTTCTGCCTCCCGTGCATCTCTCCACTCCGCGTGGTGGCGGACCGCGGATCTGAGCACTCTGCCTCTTTCTGAGCTTTGCGAAGCGGTCGCAGGGCAGTCCGTCGCCATTGCGCAACGTTTCACCTTCATAGCGCACTTGTTTCCTTTGCTGAAGGATGGGAGGTTACTCAGTGCCCGTCTTTGTTGGAATATTTTGGCAACTCGGAAACATCTGCCATCGACGAAATAGCATGTCACGTGCTCGCAAACCTGGGGACGTCTGAAGAAGGATGGCCCAGAGGCCGGCCGCGGCGACGGGACAAAATGGAAAAGGAGACGGACACTGGCCGCAGCTTTAGGGTCATTGCTCTCTGTTTTGCCCGCTGCAAATTCCACCGGTACTGATGGTCTTGGCTCCGCAGATGGAAGAAATATGATGAACAATGCCAGCTGTTCAGTACTTCAACTGACCGGACCGCCCCGACCCCAACTCCAACCCCCCATTCGCAGAATCTCACCCAGAGCCCACAGCCCTGAGCCCAAGACCCTGCAGAGGCGAGCCTTTGAGCCATGGAGGCTGCCGTTGCGGAGCGAGATGCAGAAAAGCTGGCAGGGCTGCTGGAGGCACGGAAAGGGCCTGCCCGGCGGCCAGAAGCACCTTGAGCCGGTTTTTGAAGGCCAAGCTCTCAGGGGACCGAGCTGCAGCAAGCTCGCTGGGACCCCAGCTTGAATCGTCCCTGAAACGATTGCCGAACGCCCGGTAGAACTTCACGGAGGTTGTTGCAGCAGACGATCAAGTGTTTGAGCAAGGAGGCTCCAAAAGATGTCTTGCCGGCAGAGGCGCAGTTGGTCGGCCTGCGATTTACTCTTGGGAAGGGGTTGGGCTCAACTTCCTGTAAGGGCCTTCAGAGCTGCTCTTGCAAACTGCGCCAATTCCAGTAGTTCAGACCTGAATCCGTTGTGACGCGCCTTTGGCCCTTCAACAAGACTTTGCCTTGTTCGGGACTTGGGAGTGGCGGGAGGTGCTGGCAACCTTCCCGGGGACGTCCTTGGCCGCACCAAGGCCGGACGGAGGATGGTGCTTAAAAAGATTCAGGGCCTGAGCGCTCTTTGCTGAAGCCTTGAAGCCCTCAAACCTGCTCTTTGCCCTTCGTCCGGTGCCTTTTGGTCTGTTTCAGGGGCAGATATGACATGCTCTTTACCTCCTCCGGCCTGACCTTCGGTGGAAAGACTCCGCAACGGGCCGAGATCGAGAGAGAGAGAGAGAGAGAGAGAAGACAGTGTCTTGAGTGTCTTGAGTTGCCTTCAGGCTTGGCCCTATAGCCTGGGACGTTCGCCGCTGAAGCTGAGACCTTTGTGTTGGGCATTCAAAGCGACACTGTGACCAGGCAGTTCGCTACTTCCTGAAGTTGCCTTGCTTGGAGACCAACCGGAAAGCCGGTACCGTCGCCAAGAACTACTGGTCCGGCGCCTCGCCCGGCCCCGCATCGGTGCGCGCCGCGCCATTTTCTCCGCCAGGCTGGTTCTCGTTCTCTCCCAGCCACTCCTGGTGGGTAAGCAAGAGCCGAAGACTCAGACTCGGAAGCGAAGTCGGTGCATCGCCCCCCTTTTCGCACACCAGGTATCAGTGTGTGGCCTTGAAGGCCAGTGGCACAAAGGCGCACGGAGTCCGGTCTCAGCTGAGCGGTGGACAAACCCCCAATTGCCAATAAAGTCCGTGCTCGAGGATGCCAAGTAGACGGAAATCTTTCGGAACGTGCCATCTGGAAGTGAATTGCTGGCCTTGGTTACCAAGGAAACTTTGAGACCCCATTCATGATTCGATGATTCTTCTGGGCTCTATGGAAAATTCAAACTGAGTGTGTGTGTGTGTGTCGAGTGCGTTGGGCTCATCAGGTGACTCGTAATCGATCTGCTGGACTCGAGGACCTTCATTGTACATACGTCCACGACATGTTTAGGGTGTCTTTCCAGCCTGCTCCTGCTGTCACTACGTGGGCACAGTTATGGCCGTTGTGGAAACCACATCGCATTTGCCATCATCGCACTACACAGGCCGCTTCGTTGGGCCATTTTCGCGACTGCGCATGGTTTGGGAAAACACATGACGCTCCTTCATGCAACAAGCAGTCGATCACGAGTCGTTGGAACTTTTAAACCATCGCTCGAAATCAGGGAAGACCCGTCGATGCGGCTCCGTCGCCTCAAATGCAGCAAGGACCCGCAGCCCTGAGTTTTTTGCGAGGCTCCGCCGTGCCCGCCGGCGCTTCAGTCCGGAACTGGGGAGCAGGCGCGCGACCACGAGCGCTGCGCCGCCGTCCTGAAGGCAAGGAAAGATGTTCTTCGGGAAGACACGGGGTCTGAAGATGTCTGAAGACAGAGTTTCGGCTTCTGTGCGAGGCTCTGACAGCAGCAGAAGAGAAGTCCGAGTATCTGGTGCGACCTGCAAGAGGAAGGTGCCAGGCTCAGGGCTCAGGTTGAGGGCTTGAGCATCCTGTTCAGGTGCTGTCCAGATTCTTGGAAGCCATGATAGGCGCTGACAAGGCATCCTTGCGAGGAACAGGGTTTGGTTTCGGGTTGTCCTTTTGAGAGGCTCTGTCGCCTGAGCCTACGACCTGCGTCTTGGAGGCAGTCCAGGCCTGGAGGGGTGTGGAGGCCGCTGGCAAGCAGTGAGAGAGCGGACTTTACCTTGCAGGCCTGTGGCCTCTAGCGGCCTGTAGCGGCCTATACCCAACCTTGGCTCATCCGAGGAAGGTGTCCTGTATCCACTCGCAGCGGGCTTGTGCTTCTTGCCCAAGCCCGCCACCTTCTTGCCCACGGAGGCACGGTGGGGAGGGGACGAACAACTCTGGGGGCCTCGCAACGTGGGCTCCGGGCACCTCGGAGGACATCTTGGACGCAGAAGCTGGCTCCAACTCTGGGCCACGTGGAGGGGAGCTGATCATCCATCGCTACAACGACAAGAAGCCCACGGTCTTCAGCAATCTGGCAGGCCCCGCACTGCTCCTCCGCACTGCTGGGCACTGCTGCAGTCGGCTTCGGTGATCGGTGCCCTGCTCTTCCCTCAAGTTTGTCATGCACGTGAGGTGCAGATGCCAGCGCTCTCTTGGCATACCTCGCCTCTGTAGTCAAGCATCGAGAAAACGACGTCGACCCAGACATGGAGGCTTCCCTCACGACATGACGATATGATCTGTTCGTGCCTGCCGTCAAGCACCGTTCCTGACATAGTTTCTCTGCAGGACGACGAGGAAGAAGATCCCGACTTTGTTGCGGACGCGCCGCCCGCCCGCTGACTGCAGAGAGACTTGCAGAGCGAAGCGTGCGCCTCCGTGCGCCTCCGTGCGGCGGGCAGCGCCCTTGGGCGTTTTGAGCAGCGCGCTTGGGGAGCCTCCGAGGCGAAGCGCCGGGTCGTGACCAGGCACGCGGCCTGCGAAAGTCTAGGGCCTAGGCTCGCTGTTGTTTTCTATGGAATGATGTGAGCGTTACTTGCAGGAGTCAAACTCGTGGCACTGACGCGGCTCCTTGTTTGCAGGGCCGTGTCCTGGTCTTGTGCTTCTTCGTCTCTTATGTCCCTTCCTGCACTCCTTTGCGCCGGTGCAGTGAAGGTTCTGGTGGAGAAAGTGGGCTAGCTTCCCCGAGCTCCCCTGGATGTCCAGTCGTCCGCTATGCCGGGGCAAGCTCGGCAGACAAGAGGATGTGGATGTCGCATGCGTGGAAAACAGCGTTGAAGCTCGGCAGGCTTCACCATCGGAGACATCCATTCTCCCTAAATCATCCGATACCAAAGGCGAAGATGCAAAGCCTGCAGCCCATGCTTCTCTGGGAACCTGCCCTGTCACTTCGGCAAAGCAGGCTGGACAGCACAGTCCATGATGCAGTGACGATGCAGTGACAAATTAGCCAGCAATGAGAGGAAATAGCAACACAGGCGACTGAGCTTCTCATTAGTGACCGTGTAGCACTGGTTTGCCGGTTTCCTTGGGCGACCAGGGACAGAACGAAGTAGGAAAACCGCCTAAAGATTTCATGGAGCAGTGCGTCTCCTCAGCGATGCCATGGCAAATCCGTTTGCATCTGCAGCCGACGAGGACAAAAGTTCAGGGAAGCCAGGTGGAGCACGAGTGGTTCTCGACGTCCATAGCATGAATCTCAAGCTCTGTGATACCTCTTGACGGCTTGGTGGGTTGCAGCACCAATGCCTTTCAACATATCTGGCTGATTCTTGCTAGTATCTTCACCAGCACTTCGGGAAGGCGATATTCTGAAAAAAGGATGTGTAACAATCTGGTGCTTTCTTTCCCAGAAGTTGAATAGGATGGTTTCGATCAGAGCTGTAATGGGAGTGTAGTAATACTTTCCATGGCGGTTGATTTTGATGGGATCATACGGATCCGTGGAGGTTCCATCGTTTGAACATAGTCCCCAAACCATCGAAATCCATTCAATTCTACTCAATGCATTCAAGAACAAGTCTGGCCAACTGAGCATCTCAAAATCCAGGGACATGCAAAATGCCATGAAGCTTCTAACACATTGGGCTCCAGTGTTAGGATATTAATAGTCTTCTGCTGGAACCTGCAGTGTTGTTGATGGAATTCCACGGCTTTCTATTGTGTTTAATAGAAGTGTCGTAGAACTTCAAGGAGCTCCAGGGGTGTAGAAGACTCGTTTAACAGAGTTTTCGCAGCCTTTGAACCGATTTCAATCGATTTCCAACGAGTTGGATGTGGAGGTTAATGTTTTCGGCGAATAGAAATTTACTAGGACTCACATAGGTTTTCAGTTGCATCCTCGTGGGTTTCTACCGGACGGATATTAATGTTCTTGAATACCTGTGCAGATGCAGAGCCATTGCAGTACAGTATGCAGGTTGCTGCCTACAGCTGTAATTTTAACGCTACGCCGCCCGCCTCGGCTCTGTAGTGGCAGGGCGAGGGTCCCGGCTTATTGTATACCTTCTGGTCACCCTAAACCCTAAACCCTAAACCCTAAACCCTAAACCCAAACCCTAAACCCTAAACCCTAAACCCTAAACCCTAAACCCTAAACCAGACAGGCAGTGGATTGACGCAAAAGCCAAAGCGGGGGCGAGGAAGACGAAACGAGGGCGGGGAGAAAGGGGGGAGGGGGGGGAGGGGGGGGAGAGGGGGGGGAGGGGGGAGGGGGGGAGGGGGGGACGGGTGGAGGAAAAAAAGAGGGGGGAGGAGGCCTGGGAGGGGGCGGGTAGGCCCGCAAATCAAAGAAAATGAGGGGAGGCCGGGCAAGGGGGTGGCAAACGAGCGCAAAAACAGGGTGTCACCAAACATTTGGGCTGGAGGGAGGAGGATTAGGTGGAGGGTACCTGAGGTAACCACCAAAACGCCTGGGCCTGTGGCCTCGGCGGATGATGTTCTAGTTGCTTTTTCATGGGTTTGCATTGATCTAGATGAGATTCAATGGAGTTGGAGGGCTTTGAATGCAATGTTAGGAAGTGTTGAGGAGCGTTTGACAGCCATGTTCCTGCATTCCTGTTGAGTTTGGATTCGGATGGAATTCAGATTCTTAGAGCGTCCTCATATTTCCAGTGAATTTCATGAAGGTCAATGGATGCCATGGTTCTTTTGCAAGCACGGTTGAAATTTCAGAAGCACTTTCATGGATTCAGTGTTGATGGAAGTCGTTGGATTTCGATGGTTTTGGGATACAAATAGTAATAGCTTGCTTTTGCATTTCCATAAGTTTTGGAAACTTTTTGGAGGCAAATCTACACACAGCAAGGGAATTCGCGATTCCCCACTAGCTTGCTGCAGCAAAGACCGCAGAAATTGCAAATGCTCAGTATTCTGCCGCAGAAACACCCAATAGCTTGCCACAGGACAGGGCCCAAAGAGCAATCACCAACAAACCAAAAACGCACAAATCAACTTCGGGGCCGGTGAAGAAGGGAACAGCCCTTCAACAGCAGGGAGCTTCTTGTGACAGAGCTCTTGTAGTGGTGAGCCCATAGATTGATTTGTATGTGCATGTGGTCTCTGACTTTGTGAAGGAGTCCGGCACGAATCCCTTCAGTACTGATCTCCAGGCACAATGGTTCGCACAAGTTTCTCTCGCCAGCTTTGACAATGCTTGCAGAACAACGCAATCCACGGAAAGTGTGTTCCTTTGCCTCTTCGCCCGACCTGAGAGCTGGAGGCCAGTCCGCCTGAGCAAGCAGATGCAGTTCAGCCACGCCCAGACGACTCGGCGCCCGAGGCCGGAGAAGCACACACCCGCACGACCACACCACACACAACACACAACACACAACACACAACACACAACACACAACACACAACACACAACACACAACACACAACACACAACACACAACCAACACCAACACACAACCAACACCAACACACAACCAACACCACCACACAACCAACACCAACACACAACCAGCACACACACACACAATCACACAATCACACAATCACACAATCACACACACACACACACACACACACACACACACACACACACACACACACACACACACACACACACACCAACACACACACCACACACACACACCAACACACACACCACACACACCACACACACACACACACACACACACACACACACACACACACACACACACACACACACACACACACACACACACACACACACACACACACACACACACACACACACACACACACACCACACACACACACACACACACACACACACACACACACACACACACACACACACACACACACACACACACACACACACACACACACACACACACACACACACACACACTGATGGATTCGGCCAAGAGTACGAGTGCAAGAGGAAAAAGAGAGGCATGTTGTTCATGTTGCAAAAGTTTGTCAGTTGTGGCAACCGTACAACTTGTTTGTTGTCAAATCAACCACCAAAAGTGGCAACTGAAAACTCTCTAATCTTGGCACAGGGGCCTTCTAATCTTGCTGGCTCAGGGGCCTCAGCTGTGTTTTGCAGGTACACAACAGAGCGTCCTCTGTCGCATCAGCATCTCTTAGCAGCCTCTTCGTTGGGCAGGCGCTGCTAAAGATGTCCTGCCCCCCTGCAACAGTTGATTTAGTAAATGTCCAATGCCGGATTGTGTTGAAAAGCGAAATTGCAAACAGTGTAGGAGTGACCCTCTGCTCCCATGTGCTAGGGAGGTTCACACACACACAGCCCCAATGGGGCGTACATGCTTCAAGTAGAGTGAAAGGTCTGATGCGCGGCAATAGGAGTGAATGGCGCACTTTTCTCGCTGTCAATAGCGATCGGGTGATTGTCGTATTTCCTGATCCGAACAGGTTCTAACAAAAAGCACCGGCATCAACGTGGCTAATGTGGTGACTGAATCCCAATCATGTAGTCGTCGACGGTTTTGTTCGAAGAAGAAAGCTGGGATTTTAGGAGTTCTGCCGGTGATCTCCTTGATGCGGTAGGAGAAGATCTTGCGAGCTTGGAGAACGTTGTCACCCAGACAAAGCACCACGTGTAAGAACATGTGCTTGTCTCTGGTGATGCGGTCGGGTGGAATTTCAACAGTCATCCGAAAACATTGTCCTGCCATGGAGTACCATGGAAGGCCGGCCTCGGCAGCCTTTCGCTTTGTCATATTTGTGCTGCTACCAACCGACAAAAGCTTGAACAAGGAATGCAAATCAACATGGACATGATGTGTGCTCTGGCAAAACAACAAAGTGGTGTCGTCCTGACACTCGCATGCGCAGGCTTTTTGTCACGCTTAGCGGATCTTGCAGCCCTAATCCGTCCTGAGAATTAGGGTCCAACAGCGAGTTTGTTGGGACAGTCACTCATGATCTTGAAATGGCATCGACACCTAAAACCTGCACGTACCAGCATTTTTGCACAAGCGGTTTTGGACCGCTTGTGCTGAATAGTAGGATGCACAATATCGTAAGGTGCAATCGAGTCAGAAGACCAAGGATCTCGAGATGGAGACCGGTGTGCGTCCTCAGCCATGTGTGACGTTGCCGTAGGTGACGCTGATGATGTTGAATGCGAAGAGCGTGTCCTCTTTCGTCTTGTAGTATGTGGATGTTGGCGTCGTTGCTGTGTTGTGGATTGGGATGGTGGTGAGGTGTTGCGTGTTTTCTTTGTTTTCATGACTGTTTTGTCCTTTTTGTCTTTGTTGTCTTTCTTCTTTTTTGTCCTCGTTGTGTGCTTTGTTTTTTGCTTGTGTGTGTGACTGACTGCATGGGAGGATGTGGTGGTGTCATCCTTCCTCAGGAAGGCATCAATCTCTTCGGATCCCCATAGGCTGCTGTCGTCGTCCTCGTCCATCTGTGTGCGATCCTAAATATGTTTCAGCAACTGTAGTTCTGAGAAATGGCTGCGGAGTCACAACTGCATTGAGGCATGTGCATACGCTGATCTTCAGAAGAGAGAGAGAGGTATGCAGAGACATCAATTGAGCAACCTCGCCGACCGGCATGAACTTTCAACATGATGCTCTTAATGTTGAACCTCATCAGGAATGATGGAGTTCGCAGCACAGCTTTGCTGTGTGGTTGTTGACTGCCGGAGGCAGCAAATGTGCATCTAATTGTCAACTCAGCAATGTTGCTCATGGAGTTCTTGACCGCTTTCTCTT